TTCTATTATTTTGCTATTATGTTACTATTATGTTATTCATATTGACAAACCTCCTGTTATTTTACTATTATTCTGCTATTATGCTACTGTTATACTGCTATTATGCTGCCATTATTTGGCAGATATAAAGTAGAATAATAGCAGATTTTTTTTCTGTTATTTATCTATTATTCACCCTTTATTTATTTGTTTGACCTGTGTGAACAAATAAAATAATAGAACTGTTTGATTATTTTGCTATTATGTTACTGTTATGTTACTTATATTGACAAACCTCCTGTTATTTTACTATTATTCTACTATTATGCTGCTATTATGCTTAGTGTTTATAGTCAATTTTGCTTAGTCGATTTTATCGGCTTAGCTGACCTTAGCCAGTCAATTTTTTTTATTAAATTATATATAAAAACTATAATAGCCAATAGGAATTCACCTATAATCATATCTACCGATTTGGTTTGATAGCCAATCATGATTGAGAATTATTTGCTGTTAAAATTTATTACAAAGTGGGTTTTTACAACAATGGTCTTTTATACTTACTTTTAATCTATAATTAAGTGTATAGAACATTTTAATATCTATATGTTTAATTATTGGCTGAAAGTAAGTTAAAAAGGTCGTTTTCCTAAAAAATTGCTTCTGAATCCACCCTTACCCATTATGCAACCGATCCTTCACCACCTGAAAATACCCGAACGTTTCAATAACTAGTAATAATGCTTCCCTTTACAGCTTAGCACAGCTGTTTTTTAATATTTATTGCTTATTTATCTCATATAGAGGTCAAAAAACTATTTTATTTAAATGATTCGTTTGCTATTCTTCACGTCACTTAATAGCAAAAGGTTGTGTAATGGTTTATCGAAAAAAAATCAACCAATAATTTTATTGAATGTACATATGCTCTAGCCGAGAATATGTATGTAAATGCATACATATGTAAAAAAACTAGTTTTAACATAACAGAATTTCAATTTAACCTAATTGTATGTAGATTTCTGCAAGTGCCCGTTTCAAGCATATATCGATCTAAAAAAGGATGTATAATGGTTATATTGAACAAATGCCAAGAATTTGGAATAAAGTTCACAATATAAATTATATATATTTAACCACCCAATAGTAATATAGACCGAACATCAAGGATTTGGAATAAAGTGCATAATATAAATTATATATCACCCGTGAAATTTTTTTGTTCACCAAATCAATAATTCTTGCGAATTTGGGTAGTTAAAAAAAATTAATTTATCATTGCAGACTGGCCCATGTTTCTTGAGTAGTCTACGGAAACCTCACTGAATTTTACAAGACATACACAATTCTCCCAAAAGTAATAGTTTAATGAATAAAATAAAAATTATAAGTTTAATAAAAAAATAAACACATTCAAATGCAATATCCTCATGCCAATGACTAGTTGCAATCATAACAATCGCTCTGTTATAAAAAAGTCTTAATTAACTGCTGAATTTTGATATAAGATCCATCCTTTTTAACTCCAATTCCATTAAGATAACAATATCCAACATTGTATATTCTATTCGCATCATCCACCATTGCTGATTTTTTAATAATAAATAAATGCCTTATATTTATCCTCCCTACTTATGGCATGAAATTATATTATGCCAAACACTTAAACTGTTACTCAAGTGCAAACAACTACCTGAATACAGTATTAATAGGGTTTGAGGCATGAGAAATCTTGAATATGCCCTCAAGAAAATACTAAAACAATGATTTTTCGAATAAAAAAATAAATAAATATGATCAAGGATTCTGCATCCCGAACCCTCAGTATAACATAATGTGCAGTTAAATAATTCGAATAAAATTAAAAAAAAAGAAAAAAAAAAGATATAAAATACACCATCTATACTCTTGCCATTATACATATATTATAAGCCCAAAATACATAATTACAAACCTTTGATATAGTCAGCCCCTAACAAAATGTCTGATCAATTGTTTAAAGTTAATATGTCATTTGAATATGAAGGAATAAATAACTTTGAACATAACTTTGATGATAATTATATTAATAATGAAAATGTTTTTAGTGATGAAAATGATAATTATGATGAAGGCGACGATCATACTGATGATGATGAGGGAAATACAGTTAATTTTTTACCTATTACCTCTTATTTTTCCCCAATGTCCCCAATTGAAACTTCAAAAAAAAAAACTAAAACCAATGTAACATATAAAAAAGGAAGCAAATCGTCCGGTCCCAGTTGAATATGGAAATATACTCGTCAAGATAAATTAACCAAGATCAAATACTGTACAGTTCGTATAGATAATGAAGATGGTACTAGTGAGCGGTGTAAAATGGTATTTTAGCCAAAAACATCAACAACTAATATAGCTGCACATTTATGTACCGAGCATCAAATTTTTAAAACCCAAAAATGGGATGCATCCCCTACAACAACTGTAAATCCCACATCAGTAACTCTACTAACATTCGAAACAATCATACAAAAACAGATAGAAAACACTTTGCCCCTTTCTGAAAAACAACAAAATCGTATTGCTTATCGGCTTGTTGCTTGGATTGTCAAAGAAATGATGCCATTAAATTGTATCTACCATGATCGGTTTCGAGATTTTTGTTATGAGATTAATTAACGGTTTGAGGTCCCTTGTACTAATACAATTAAAAATATGATGAAAGAATTAGTATTTCATATACGTGCAATACTAAAAGAAATGATATGTCGAACAATGGCTTCCGCCTGCATTACTACTGATTTATGGACACAAAACCATGTTCTATATATCGGCATAACAGCCCATTGGCTTTCTGAGAACTTTACTATGTACAAATCCTTAATTACAATTGAGCATTTTCCCTATCCACATACAAGTAGTGTTACAAATTGTCAATCAATTCATTGAACTAATCGATTGAATTTTTTAGATAAAACTAATCGATTAATCAATTAGTTGCAACTAATTGATCAATCGATTAGTTTTATCTAAAAGATTCAATCGATTAATTGTCAACTAATCAATTAACCGATTTTTTTAACTTTTGATTTGTAATACTAAATACAGAAGATCGAATCGAAGATTTTTTGCACAAAGTTCTCGTAGAATGGGATATGTTCGATAAAATTAGTGTTGTAATAACTGACAATACGTCATCTATGAACAAAGTGATTAGACAACTAGGCACTCCTCACCTTGGTTGTACAGCACATATTATTTATCTTGTGATTATGGATGGGTTAAAACAATGTGAAACTTTAATTGGGCATGCAAAATCATTAAATAACTTTTTGGTTAATCGTGACAAATATAGATCGTTATTTCGAAAAATTCAGCATGAAATGATTGAAAAAAAAAATAATGATAATGCAACTAAACTAACCACTAATATGTCTGTCCTAGATCCTATCTCAAGTGATACTATTACCAGATGGAACTTCATTTATCTTGTTCTTCAAAGGCTTCTTGAACTTTGAGAACCGATTTTAGAATTGGCAACAAATCTAACAAATAATCCTGACTGTACTATTCGTGCTGATAGTAATAACCTTAATAAAAAAATACTTACTGATGAAGAATGGACAGGTTAATATATCTTTATTTAAATTTAATAGATAAAAGTTTTCAAAAATCTGTTGTTATAATAAATAAATAAATAAAAAACAAAAAAAAATAAAAATAAATACAAAAAAAAAAAAAAAAAAAATGTAAAAATAACTAAATAAATAAATACAAAAAAAAAAAAAAGTTATCAAAGCAGAAAATAGTAATAAAACTACAACATAATTCTATTATCACCTTTAGTTATGAGGATCCTTCGTTATTAAAATTTTTTTTTTTCTTAAAAAAAAAAATTTCAGGTCTTGAAGAAATATGCCAAATTTTACATCTATTCGCACAAGCTTTAACATTCATAGGTGGTGACCACTATCCAACACTGAGTATGATGTACCCTGCCGTACGACATCTTTTTAAAGTCTTGGATCAAATAGAATATATGCTTACAAACCTAGAAGCTATTGAAATGCACCAAAGTCTTCGCACGTCAATGGTATCTCGATGGGACAATCCAGAACTGATCGGGTAGTTTGCTACATTTCTTGATCCTTGTTTCAAAACCTTATCAACCACCTCATTCACAATACAAAAAGAAGTGATCAAGGAATTATGTAAAAAAATTGAACTCTCCAACCAAAAAAATACCTTACCAACTACCAATCAAGCCCTAAATACAGAAATGTCTTCTTTTTTTGATGATGAAATCGAACCTTCGTCCCTTTCTCGAATTGATACGGAATTTCAAGTGTATTTCTCAATTCCACCAATCCCTAAGTATGATCTAAAGAACCCGCATTATGAAGAGTATAATCTTTTAAGTTGGTGGAAAGAACATAAATGTGCCTTACCTCTTCTTGCCGAATAGGCAAGAATTTTTTTGGGCATTACTGTGACTTCTGTGCCCTCAGAATGTCTCTTCTCTGATGCTGAAAACACTATAATGGATAAACGTAACTGTTTGAATAAAGATACGGTTCACAATCTTTTGTTCTTAAAAGAAAATTCTAAAATTGTTAATGTGTATGTTGGCTTATAAATGTGTTTCAAATCAGGAAGGCATTACAATGCTTAAATCTCATTCTGAAATAGACTGGCCACTCTTTTTTTTTTTTGAATTGTTATTTATAAAATTTTATTTAAAAACTTGTATAACATTTTTAACATTATCCATCCGCTTATTAACATATAAAAAAAAATTCGAACTTTGACCCAACCAGTTACGAAAATTAAATATTAAATTGTATTTATCCTAATAATTAAAATATGGTTTAGTAGAAATCATTTTTTGATCGTATTAGACTAATGTACAACTTGAATAAAACAAATATAACTTACACAGTAACCAGATATATCATCTGTATTCTGTTGAAGACCCAAGTTCACTAGTCAGTACCACTGAAATAGATAAAAAGACCCAAGTTCGCTAAGATCTTAAGTCAGTACCACTGAAATAGATAAAAAGCTAACCCATTAGTTTTTTAATCTCAACTAGCCTTCCCCAAAACCGAGTTCAATATTAATATAAAAGCTTATCTATGACTAGAGTCGCCTGCTACAAAGTCGCAACCCTAGTTGCGCTATGAAAAAGTCGCAATTCATATTTGCAGCAAGCAACATTATCTATGACCATATCGATACCATGTAATATAACGAGCCAATCATATTTGCCTATTATCACGTGTTATTAATTAACCAATTAGAGTCATCGACTCGACCATAGTCGGCTAAGCCGATTTTTAAATATCGACTTAGTCTAGCCGATAAATTAAGGTCGACTACAATCACTAGTTATGCTGCCATTATTTGACAGATATAGGATAAAATAATAACAAATTTTTTTTCTATTATTTACCTATTATTCACCCTTTATTTATTCATTCGACCTGTGTAACTGTTTTAAAATAATACAATAATATGTAATAGAAAAAAAATTATTTTCTTATTTTTATTTAAAAACATTAACAAATAAGCAATGATCGAAATATTGATTAACATTATATTATATAATTGGACGTTTAAAAATAAATCAACAGAAATTTAAAATAGAAAATCCTTTTGAAGTCGGGTTTTTTTATTTATCGCTTGTATTGTAGCAAAAGCATCATCTGGGCAGCTTGATTTAGTAAGTGGTCTATGGTTTCATTAGATGATCTTTGGCAAAATTAATCAACGCCGGTCCATTCCGGTTGCGCTGCTAATCTATTCGAATTATCCAACCCTGTTTCGAACATAGCAACAGATATCTAGTAATACTAAACATACTTTCAAAATGCTGGTGCAATAATCATAAACCAGTATACAATTAAATGTTACAACTTCATTACAATGTAATTTCATGTAACATAAGAGTTATTTTATATATACAACCCTAAGACAATATTCAGATTAAGTAGATATAGATGTGATAGTCGTATCACTTGTATGTGATATATCATCATTAGGCGTGCTTTGCACATTTGAAGTGTCTAAAGTATCTACGACTTCAAGGGACGAATCGGCAACTGCTTCATTATTTGATACGTTATCCGATTCTTCCGAATCAATGGATGGCAACCAAAATGCCTGATATTAATTTATAAAAATAAAAGTTTGAATAAACTTTATTATCCGAGAATAAATAACATAGAAGGCTTTTTTTCTTAACATACCAAATCTGTACATGCGCTGACCATCATAAGCCTTGCTGGGTTGAATCTTACAACCTGTGTTGGCCTAACGTGATGCTCTAGAGTATGAATAGGTCTTAAATCAATTCCATCTGATATAATGGCTGATGTGTTTAAGGATGTTCCTGTATCCCAAAAGTTTATCTGTCCATCTTGGGATCCTGTTATACAGATATACTTTTAACTTGCCAAAATATGGCCAATTATGACAAAATGAAAATTAAATAATAAAATTATATATCACCTGCTATTACATAACGGCCATCTGGTGTGAAGCTAGTCTCTTCACCACCCAAAAAAGAGGATGTGTTATTAAGTCCCACATGTCCAACCAATCGTGACTTTAATTCACCTGTATGAGCGTGAACTATATAATGAACATCTCCTGCAGTAGTTACTAATATTTTATCATCATCGTTACTGAACTTAAGTCCCGTCCATTCAGGAAATATAGGTGGGTTTGGATAAATACTTGGGGCCATATAGCTATCAAAAACGTTAAATGTACTGAAAGGCGCCTGAAACAGAAAACATAATTTGTAGGTTTTGCAAAAATAAACTGACATAAAAAGCTCATAAAATCATTAACCTTATCATATTGTCGCACATCATACAATCGCAAAGAGTTATCAAGATTTTGAAGACCAATCGCGAATACGCGTCCAGAGGGATCGAATGCTACGCAAGGCCTCCCCGCTTGAATGTGAAGGTAACCCTATAATAAAATATTATTTTAAAAATGGTGCTAAATTTTGATCTGAAATAAACGATTACTTTATAATGAAACAAATTCGGTACAATTTCATTAGATTGTCTTAAGTCCCATAATTTCACTCCTTCGTTTATACTTCCAGATAAGAACAGATCATTAGAGGGCGACATCTCCAAGGAGACCACTCTATTATCAAGTTTTAAATAAGATTTAACAGTTTTATTTGGACTTGGCATATGATGAATTTGTAAACACTTACCTATTTTGGTGACCCTCAAAATATCTTATGTATTGATTAACATGTAACGATAAATATCTTAACGTATCTGGTCAAATTTTCGAAAATTAAGTTTAAAAAAAAATTTTTTCGATCTTATTGATAAAAGAAAAACAATTGATGGCGAACCAGTTACCGTTTTCTTTGATCGATGCATATATGATATTAGTGTTTAGATGCGTGAATCTAGTAAGGTGTATTCCAAATTTTTTACTATACAATAATTTTTTGTGCCTTACATGCATAAAAAAAATATGGGTTAGCATCATTGGATTTCTTTCGTAATGTCAATTAGGTAACTTATGATATTTATATTTATGCTTCAATTATTCATATAAAGTACTGAGTACATTAAGTTTATTTGTAAGCAAAGCCAAATGGACGCATTTAAACTAGATAATCTATAGAGAAATCTGAAAATTTTATGACAACAGATTATAAAATTACAATATATTACGCGTTCTTTGAAGGGAAACTCAAAAATAAATAAATAAATAAAAAGGCTAAAAGGAGAGATTAATATTAAAGAACAGGATCGCGTTCCTCACCTTCCCTGAAGGCAATTGTAAAGGTTAATCGAATCATCAGCCGAGGCAGTTACGCAAAATTCGCCTGTGTCATCGAAGTCTAAAGAGGTAATTGGCTGTGAATTCTCATAAAAATTTTTTGCTGCTTTAAGTTTGAGGAGGTGATCAACTGTGAGGGTAACGAGTTCTTGGGAATCCATCAGTCGGAAAGAACCATTACTAATTTTAAAAAACCCGACAGAGTCAAAAAATTTTTTGAGATTTGTGTAACCCGAGCTGTGGGTCATAGGCAGAAATTTATCTGATTGGTTAGCTTCGTAGATCAATTTGTAGATCTACATGTGATTATTAGCCAATCAAATCATACAATTTGCAATTCAGTTCTAAAAGCGATAACCTCAAGAAAAAGTTTATATAAATCGTATGATTTTTTTATTTTTTATTTTTATTTATATAATATCAAAGTAGAAACTTTATAAGTACATAGAAGTATTTTCTATACTAAAGATTTCTAACTACATTTTTTTTTTTTTTTTTTTTTTTTTAAGGTGAGGTCATGCCTCAGGTCTGTTTATTCAAACATATTGTTACAGTTTGTACAACTTTTTACATTATACATT